TCGCTGGCGTAACGCGTTTAGAAGTTATTGGCGAAAAACGGGAGGGGGGCAGATTCTGCTCCCCCCCCCCCCAGCGGGGCGCGGGTTAAGGAGCAGCCAATGAGCTACATAGTGGGCACTGGGCACTGAGTTAAGGAGCAGGCAATGAGCTACATAGTGGGCACATACATACTCGTAGCTACATGTACATACATAGAGCTACAGTCTAGGGGACGGACGCGGACGGCCACTCACGGGAGGCGATGTTGACGTAGAGTCGAGTGGTGACGTCCAGGTCGGCCGAGAGGTCCAAACCCTCGTCACAGCTGCGCGCCACCCTGCGCGACGCGACGCCGACCATCAGTGTCACACGGTAGCAGCTCCACTACACAGCTACATAGACACTAGACAGACTTTACTCCCACGCTTCCCTAACAAAATTGTTAGGTCGCTATCCACGCACTCCCCTAAAAAAAATAAAAGTCTAACATCCACTTTGGCAAGAGGGCTGGGCAATGCATAACTGTACATTTTGATGCTTTTATGACGGGTAATAGGACAGAACTGAATGTGTCGAAACTGTTCGAAGAACTAATGCCAGGTTCAGTTGATATTGGCTGCCTCTAATTGACAGTTGTAGATGATTTTCTCAGCATCGTCTTACTACTAAGGCATTCTGCGTTTAGTTATGATCTGACCTGGGATCAAGCGGGATCGAGCCGAGGAAAGGCACGTGCATGTCGCGAGCCATCTGTTCCGCGCCGCCAGTGCTTGGCGGGAAGATACGCGTGGTCGTCTGAAAAAGTCAGGATTTGTCATGGCATATTTATGTTCGGTTCCACTCGAGTCTGTACTCTACATACAGTATGCCTGAACAGTGAGAATATCATTATCAATCAGGCTACGCATTATTGATTTTTGACTGAAGGAGAATCCATCATCGGCCCGACTTGAAGCCGGTTACGGCAGATTCCAGAATAGTTAGTGTAACAAAGTTTAAATTAACCCTATCATTTAGCCTCCTTGCCCGATCGCCTCGCCTTCGTTCCTTATATGGCTATCCTCCCCCTATTGGCCCGTGATATGACGTATATATGTGACGTATGTATCTGACACGTGCCGAGCCGCAGTGGGCACAGCCCCCGGCCGAGTGAGGGAGTTCCGAACCATCCGGCCAACCCATCGCACCCGCGCGAGCCGCTCTCCCGTCGGGCTACTTTAAACTTTACAGTCAATTCTTGTCTCGGCTCATTTCTGGACAATATATCGTGAAAAGTGGAAGTGTTATATTTAATGTTTGAGGAACGGACTAGACTATCACGGAACGACATTACAGTTAGGTGTGACATTGAACAAAGGGTGTCCAGTTCAAGTTTGTTTCGAGCAGCTGGGTTATGACAGCCAAGAGCTCTGTCAGCTCTACTTTACACTTGCCGCTCTGTAGTTCATGTTGTCTGCAAAATGAATAAGTCCTATGAAAAAAGGCCAGATTCTCTTCTCGCGCTCGTTCGTTTGTCGCCCCAAGAGGCACTTTACTGATATTGGATCACCCAGAAACTTTCATTCTAGCGTGATTTCAGACTTTAAACTGTCACTGTTGAAATAACAAATGCTTACCTGGCATTTTGGGCAGGCGAAAGCGGCCATGTTTTCAACCACTCCCAGGATGGGAACGCCGACCTTCCTGCAGAAGGTGATTTCTTTCCGCACGTCCAGCAGAGCCACTTCCTGAGGCGTAGTGACGATCACAGCGCCATCTATGCCACTGTAACGGGCGTCAGTAGCGGTCAGTCCGCCGCTCGGGCGCCCCTCGCATGCCTCTCCTACGACAGGACAGGACAGGACAGACACACGACGCCATCTACAGTCAGCCAACGGCCCACACTGAGCCGCTGAAGCCCTTGAATAAAGGCGATTGGACGTAAAACGAGTCTGCAGGTCCACATCCTAGTTAAAATCATTTCCCAAGCGAGTAACATACGCGAGCTCACGCTTAACATTTAACGTTTTACGTTTTATAATTGTATTTTAGATTAAGAAAGAAGAAGGAATAGCTGATACGACAAACCTTTCACATTTCTCACAAACGAGTCACATCATCCGACTTCCCAGGGCGCGGCCGCGCGCTAACGCTAACGCTCCACAAGGCCAGCGAGGCACTGTGACTGACCTGGTCTTGAGGTACTGCACGACAGAGAGGTGCTCGTCAGAGGTGCCCGGCGGCGTGTCCACGATCAGGTAGTCGGTGTCGCCCCAGTCCACGTCGCGCAAGAACTGCTTGATGAGTCCGTTCTTCTTGGGTCCGCGCCAGATGACGGCGTCGTCGGGCGAGGCCAGCAGGAAGCCGACCGACATCACTGCCAGGTTATCCTGCCGGCCGCGGCACCGGGCCGTGTCAATGCCCGCAGCGGCTGGCCGTGTCACCACCCGCCGGCCGCGGCACAGAGTCGTGTCACCACCCGCCTCCGGGCGCCGGTCACCACCCGGGACACACACACACACACACACACACACACACACACACACACACACTCGACGCCATCTACAGACTGGGGACCGCCCAGACTGAGCCACTGGAGTCCTCGAAAAAGGCAATGGGAGTCCATAGCTATGCTTATTAGTGGAATAAAATTAAAGATTGATACTGTCATTGAATAGCTGCACCACCTTAGCGCGTACCTTGACGAAGACGGGCGACCAGCCGGAGCCGGAATGGTGGACGTTCTCCCCCTCCAGCCCCATGATACGAGGCACCGACGGGCCGCATATGTCGATGTCCAGCAGCGCCACCTAGCGACAACACAACATTATGCCCGGTTACATAGCATTTTTGACGAAGCTTCAGCTCATTTATCTTGCGATAATTTCGATGCAGTGCTCTTGGTATATTTAGAAAGCATCATTTTTTAAATTGTTAAGCACCATTGCCATCTAACATTTCAACACCACGGGCGGAGCTATAAGCTTGCAACAATCCCTATCTACGCGGCTATCACTACCCAGTATGCCAGCGCCACCTAGCGACCGGACTGCCGACGACCCGCAGAAGAGCAGCAGAACGAGATGAGGTGAGGTAGAGACAGAAAAGGGCGCAGTGGCCGCAAAATCCTTGTTATGTGCAATTTTGATGTGGACTCATATATCACTATATTTTGGGCAGAATAAATAATATATATACATAATCGAATTGAAAAAAGGTTATCGGAGAATACAATATTCATCTCATAAAACGTAGATAGGAGCAGGAGTAATTAAACCTTACGTTCTTGTTCTGGTCCATGGAGAGCGTCTTGCTGAGCATGGAGGACACTGTTGACTTGCCCACTCCGCCCTTTCCAGACAGAACGAGGATCTTATGCTTGACGCAGGACAGTCTCTCCTCAATCTTGCCAAGGTCTACAAACACACAAGACTGCGTTCATTGTCGGGCTAGGGTCCACAGTGCAGTGACCACCGCGGGCTATGGTACTACAATTCACAGCCATGATGGTCGCGCAAGGGTATGACAATTCACAGCTCACAGCAGTGAAGGTCGGGCTAGGACATAACTGTTCACAGCAGCGATCGCCCGGCTAGGGTATCACCGTTTACATCAGTGACAGGGTGAGTATCTCAATTCACATCAGTGATGGCAATGCGCAGTACATCAGATTAGATCAGCGCTCGCATCCATGATCCAACTCCAGCCCGGTGCTGGGGTTGGTCTGAGCGGGGCTGGGGTAGCGGTCAGGCACAGGCACAGTGCTGAGCTCGGCCGGCCCGCACGAGGTACGTACCCGGGTCTGGAGCGCGTGCCTGCCCCGAGGCGCAGATCTGTTGGTTGGGACAACCAGCGCAGGAGGAGGCTTTGCCGGCATCTTCGCTCTCGGTGCCCGGGCAGTCTGCAAATGGCCGCTCATCTCAGAGTGCGGAACGGTTCAGCTGGGTCACGTGGCCTCGCAATTTGAATTCTTGGGAGAAATGAGTACAGGGAATGCTTATTTAACAACGGAAACAATGCAATCATAGTAGAAGCACCTGGATCACGATTTCATACCCTTCTTGCACGATCCTATGCCTGGAGGCCTTTTAGACGTTATACCGTTACTGTCGGTGGTCTCCGGAATTTTCGTCAATAACTCCCGACCAAACTCAGCTAGCAGGTCGGGAAAACTACTAACTACTAAGTACCCCAGCATCAAATAGCGAATCGATAAAACATGAAATATGTCATAGTGATCAACTTTCTGACCCCATGAGTCATGGGCTAGTTTGACCTAACGGTTTTGCCATTCCCAGTTTTGCCCAGTTTTGCTAGAACACAGTTTTGTCATTTCAAAACAAAACGTGCGGATAGGTACAGGACAGGTGCAGATATGTACGATTGGCCTGAAGATAAGGGCTCAGGCGACCTGTGGTTTTGATGCGGTGAACACTCTTACCCTCGCCACAGCTCGGGCCGAGTGCACCCCTCCTCCCATTCAACCTCACCCCCACTCGAGCTGTGGCGAGGGTAAGGGTATTCACAGCATCCGAACTGCATGTCGCCTGGGCCCTCATCTTGAGACCAATAGTACCTAGTGGTGCCAACGCCATCGCTCAAGGACCATTTTATATCGCAAACTCGACATTAGAGCCCTTGACCTGTTACCTGACCTAAAGACGTTCAGAGACATTAGAATTGGGTACTAAACGCTGCGTATCGTAACGGCACACGAGGTCATTTTCCGTGACGCTTCTGTTCAATCAGGGATAAACTGCGTGGGTATCGTACGCCTCTCGCCGGGAGTGCCAAAAATGGGACTGGTGAATGATGAACGTTGGGATGGGTCATGGTACCCACATGAAATGCTGACGAATTTTGACCTGCATGCTGCACATTCAAGTTTGTGTATACACTTACTGTTTCCTAGTTTACTACCTACCTACCTACCTAGCATCTACCTACCTAGTTTATCATGACATCCTATTTTGATAGGTATGCTTTAAACTGCATGAAACACAATTTATCTTGGTTGATTCAACATAAAGGACACAAAGTATTGAAAGTAAAAATCAATGTATTTCATAAATCACACCACATTCATGTAAATCGCTAAAAAAAATTGTTGTATGTAGGCTAAGAAAGCAATTGGGTTCACAGTTTTTTTCCAAAACAGAATTAAATGAGATCCTGTTACACTCACAACAGGTGCACAATTTTTTAATTTGCTGGTGATTTCAACTCAATAATGCACCATATGAATTCACTTATCATTTCATTCATTCATCCTACTAAAGTCTAAACTTAGTTGGGCATATCCCAAGAAAAGCATAGACACTTCACTTGTCATGTATGTACATCTAACACACAACACCATTGCAGTCTGGTGCAGTCAAATCCTGATTGCTGACTCAGTCCATTCCTTGGACTCACTCTGCATCAACAATGGTTGGTGCATACTCATCTGGTTCCTCACTGAAATCCCACTTGAACTTCTGCATGAGATGCTGTCTGAACAGCATTCCTCTTTGTCTCAGGCCTGTAGGGACATCCTCTTCCTCCAGGTTGGTGAACAGGATGTGAAGTGTATGCACCAGAAAGTTTTCTTTTGATATGATGTCAGTGAAGAAGTCCTCTGGCACCTCTTGGATCTGATAGTGCATACAAGTCAGGAGTTGCAAGAACATGTCTGGATACCTCCTCAAAGCCACATCACATGTGCAAAATAAGTGTACTAGTTTCTTCCAGTGCTCAAAAGCATCATACACATGGCCAACCAAAAAAGACACAAAGGCCACCTGAAGTTCTCCTAGCAATTGAGAAGGAGCCATGCTTCCCTCCAGCATTTTCTCCAGTCTTAATGATGAGTCAAGTGAATATGCTGTTCTAAACTCAGGAGATGCATTTTCCAGACACAGTGCTGATGGCAGAGCAGTGAACCTCAGCTCAGTGCCAGACTTGAGATGCATCTTTGGCAACATCCTCTCTTCTGATGAGCTTCCAGCTGCATCAAACTTTGGTTGTTCTTCATCAGCCTCAAGCAGCGATGCTGAGCACAACATCTCAGAGACGGGCTGCACTCTCTTCATGATCTCTTCAGACACATGACTTGTCAGTGCATACCACTTTTTCCATGTATCATAAGGAAATGCACCTAAAAATCTGTCCAACTCCTCCTTGTTGCTTTTTATGCGGTCCTTGTCATCATCTGAAACTTCTATAAGTGTTTCAGTCACTGGATCCCATTTCCGAACAAGGATCTCTCCTTCACCAAAGAAATGAAAAAAGCTTGTTCTAGGAGCTGCCATGCTTTCTTTTCCAACTGCACTGTAGTGCAGCATGTGAAGCCCGGGTGGTATCATCTTCAAGCCTTTGAATTTATCTCCAGTTCTCCACACATTCATATCTATCCCAACTTCAGTGTTTTGAGGAACATCCAAGAAAACGACTGTTGCTCCAACATCAAACAGCTTCTTTGCAGTGTCAGGATCCATTTTAAGAAAACAAATTCTGCAAATCGACTCGACCTCGACCATAAAATAAAACAACAAAACGTTTCAGCCGTGATGTTTTAAAATAAACATCCAGAATAACTGGCAGCACACTCAGACACAAAAACGACGCAACACAGACCATTGCAATAAAATATATACTCACGTTCAGGAGCATTTTCAGGAACATCAGCCATCCTCAAATGATCAGTTGTACAATTTGCAGAACCCTTTTAATGAGTAACGTTTCCACGCCCATCAAAGAACGGCCGTGTCACGAAACCCCACCTCTCCAGCCCCACCGCTCCCCGAGTCTTGCCCGCAAGGCCATCTATAGAAGGTACAGTCACTCCCCCGCCGACCAATCACAGACAGATCCTGAGTGACGTCACCCCTGATGCTCGCAAGGGGTACTCCATTCCTTTACAACGTAAAAATGACTAACTTCATTTGAAGATTGTTGGTGACACTCTACACACATCGCTAAACCGTTGATGTCATTAGAAAGTCCAGCTAATTTTCTAGCGATAAAAAAGAGCAGCAATATGCTAAGAAATGGCCGGTTTTGAAGATATAGACGATATAAAAATCCTCTGCAGTTGCAGGAAAGCAACGTAAAAACGCATTGAGCTTATATTTTAACTATGAATAAATCATTTTTCAGTAAGTTTCTAGATATGTTATCGATTTATACAACAACTTCATTACAATATTTTTATTACTTGGAACTTTATTTGAAAATAATATTTTCAAAAATGGCAACTGTTGGTAAGTAGCTTTGAAGCGATTGTGGCGCACAGCGCCATTATTGTCCTGAGGCCCCCTTATGATGTCATCAAAAGTGGAGTGACATGGGCCTAGTCACCGTGACTGTCCGGTTTGTAAACAAAAGTTCTTTTGCTACCATATGAGAAAGAAACCTTTACCTGGCGGCTGCTATGGCGCTACTCGCTTCCCTTGCTGGCCGACGATTCAATGCAATAACTTATAACATTTATATACACTGTGGCAATAACAACATATGATTATGCATGTAAAACAGGAGTGCGGAGCCGGAGTCAGAGCTGGCTTATTTTGAACGGAGCCGGAGCCGGAGCCGGAGCCGTCAAAAAGGGGGCGACACCGGCTCTTTTTTTTTTGAAGAGGAAAAATTATTGACCTAGTTAGGTTTGACAGTTCAAGGCAGCCTATGCAAAATATGAAAATAGCCTTGTTATGCAAATACAGAGGCAACGTGCACCAATCCCATCGTCTTTTTTCTTCCACCCGTATTTAATTGCATAGGGGATGACGGATGTACTGAGTATTGGAGGCGGAGCCGGACCATTTTACTCGGAGCCCCGAGCCGGAGCCGGATTCATTTTTTCCTCCGGAGCCGGAGCCGTCTGAAATTTCCACGGCTCCGCATCCCTGATGTAAAATAATAAAAAAGTAACCACTCTCATAGTCAGGGGTGCGGAGCCGGAGCCAGAGCCGGAGCCGGCATATTTTGCCCGGAGCCGGAGCCAAACAATATATAGCCTGGAGCCGGAGCCGTCAAAAAGGGGGCGACTACTCCGGCTCCTGCTTTTTGAAGAGAAAAAAATTATTGACCTAGTTCGATTTGACTGTACAAGGCAGTGCCAGTATACTCGTATGTGACATTCAAAATAGCCTTGTTATGCAAATACAGAAGCAGCGTGCACCAATCCCATCGTCTTTTTTCTTCCACCCTTTTTTCTTCCAGTATTGGAGCTTTCTTCCACCGCATAGCGGATGGACTGAGTATTGGAGCCGGAGCCGGACCATTTTGCTCGGAGCCGGAGCCGGAGTCGCCATGGCATTTCACCCGGAGCCGGAGCCGATTTTTTCTCCGGAACCGGAGCCGGAGCCATCTGAAATTTCCACGGCTCCGCATCCCTGATGTAAAATAATAAAAAAGTAACCGTACTCTCATAATCAAAATCGAAAATCGTAAAAAGGCCAGATAATTCCGAGAACTATCTGGCCTTTTACGGTGGTCGTGTGTCTTCGGATTGAAAAGGGTGGTTTCTGGTTATTTTATGATCACACGTCATTACAGTGCTATGGGCAGAGTATCGCATCCTGAACATAAATCGGCTTGTACAAGTTATATAGTGGTACATAATCTAAGTATCAGGAAGTACCTCAAAATACAATCCGAGATTATCGTATCGCCGGGCAGGGCAGACCACTCTCAAATGGATGAAGGCTGAACGTCGACTCACACGTCCACCTTTGTGCGGTAGATATAACCGGGTCTTCTTGACGTTATCACTAAATCACATCATGCTTCATCAGCTTACGTGTTACAGCCCCAGCATTGCGACTCAGCCTCCCATAGCACAAGCATTCCAGGTTCCAGAGCCTGGCTTTGAAGAACGCAGATGCCTGGTAAAATCCGGTGGAAGTGTTATAGCCGAATTTCGCCAGTCTCTTTCGTAACTCGTAGCCCCCGGGCAGTAGGTACTGAGTCGGAGTGAGGTACTGCAGTCGTCCAAAGGCAAAACAATGCACTCGAAGTGTAACGCACAGTCAACATGCTTCACAGTTCACATGCAACCTGAATAGAGTTTCGAGGTGACAAGACAACGTTTCGTTGTTTTCACCAATCGAGACACGCGCACTCTTCACTAGTTTATTAGACACCCGCCGCCCGAGCGGACAGAGCATTTACAATAACACATTATAGTCTCGGCGGCCACGTGTAACAAATGAATCTCGAGTCAATGACTTCCAAAATATACGAAACTAAGCACTAGCAGCTCACTCACTCTCTCCCTCCCCGCCCAACCGCCGGTAAACGACAAATACCGTTGACCCCCTCGCATACAAGCACTCAAACACACACACATAAACGCACACATACACAAACATACGCACATAGCACGCACCCGGAAACAGAGGCCACACTGGAGGCGGCGGCGGCGGCCCCAGCGGACCGTCCGGCCGGCCGCCCTCGCGCGCTCACTCTCACATGACTTTGTGGTCGGTCGTCGCCGGCAGCCCGGCACCGCGCCGCGAGCGGGGTCCCGCGCCATGCTGCCGCTCACTGCGTGCACGCGCTGCATATGGGTGTATGGGTGTGAGAAGACAGACCAATAGCGTCCGGAGGCCGGCGGCCCAGCGGACCGAAACTGTCAGTGACCGCAGCTGCACTCGCACATCACTCACTCACGCACAAATAAAAACAGGTTGCCCATGACACGTCCGCCAGTTTGAGCAACGTTAAAAAAGTGTTGTACCATCTTTGGGAATAGGGGGGGGGGGTATGTGATGCGTTTGGGGGGCAGCGCCGCGGCCGGCGGTGATCACAGTAGTGGGGGGAGTGCTCGCGCCGCCCGCGGCCGTCACTCGGGCTTCTGCGGGTCGCGCTGTTTGCGGCGCGCGCCGGTGGACGCGTCCGGCTCGACGGTGGCGCCACTGGTGGTATTGCGCGGAACCAGCAGAATGCTGCCGTCCGCAGACTGCTGCAGACTGTACTCGAGCGGCGAGTACGGGTTGCCGTCCGGGTCCCGTAACGACTGAAACACAAACCGGCGCGCCGTGTCAGCGGATGGGCCCGCCGAGTGGTGTGGGCTGAGAAGGGTGACACACGCGACACGGGTCACACAGGCACGGGGAGGGAACTCTGAATTATAGGGAGAACTGTGGGATCAGCCTGGCGGCCATCAGCCATTCCCAGTACTAGCAGCTGACACTTCAACAGCAGCAGACGAAAACAGTTACGGATTCTCAACGTCAGAACAACGCTGAATACACATCTCTGCTCGGCACTGTCGACCCGACCAGTCACTATATCCTTGTTCCCTTCCTCATCCCATATACAGAGAACAGTGACACCCATAATGCGACTCGTGGCTGAACGATCCGGGGCAGAGGTGAGGAGTTTGTTCCAGCTTTCCCGCTGCCCCGTGCGCCGACTCATCTCTCGGCTCCGACGACTCACAGCTCCGACTCAGACTCACAGCTCCGCCCACGTCATTCAGAGTCCGCTCCGACTCACAGCTCGGCTCCGCTCCGAGTCACAGCTCGGCTCCGCTAAAGGTCGCCGTCCACTGCACATTGGCATCCGCCGAAAGTACGCGTGTAATCGTCGATAAGCGTGTATTCTCGGCGTTTGCTGAAATGACGCCGTCCACTGCACAAAAACATCGGCAGAGACGGCAGAGATGCTCAAAGCACGGCTCAAAGGACCCGCCGGCCGAGGCCGTATACCTACAATAGAATGGAAAACATAATTACTGGCTCGCCTGCCCGTCAGTTACTTCGTACTAACCACGGTGACTATAAATAGTTCTAACGAATAGTGTTTTAACCAAGGCTATAGAGAACCGGTTTTTAACCACTTTAACTATTGACAACAAACCTTCGGTTGTAGGAGAATGGTTAGCCGTTTGTTTACATCGGTGACCTTGAAAGATGACGTCAGTTGGTGTCTACCAATCTTCGCCAATATTTATCTTCGAGGATTTTATCCTCTAAGGCAGTTTTTGATATTAAACTTTTGGGCTCCCTTAGAGCATAAGAAAGATTATTTACTGCACAGCAATGTCTTAAAAAGCGACAAAACCTTGACACCCCGTGACGTCATCTGTCTCCTGAGCCCTCCTTACGTGACCTGCCGGATCTGATTTCGCTCAGTTTTCACGGTGAAAAAATCTGGGCCTAAGGCACGTGCTCTCTGCTCGGCACCGGCCGCGGCCCAAAATGTCGCAAAGATGCGCTCGCCACGTGCAAACCGCTGAACGCACCCCTCCGAAAAGCTGATACGACAAATGGTTGCATGCGTCCGACTTGGTGCAAAAATTTCACCCCCGTAGCCCGCACCATCGCCGAGCAATAGCCCGCCAAAGGGAACTGAATCTTGCGCGGTCGGCGTCAACAGCAGCAGAAAAAGCTCCCACGATCCAACTTTTCCGCCACTAAATTAAGAGCGTAAAGTAAGCGATGAAAAGATGAACATGCCGAAACACGTTGTCGGCGGCTGGGCCGTTTCGGCGGCTGCAGATTCTGCTCCTACCATTGCCTCTGTAGTTAATTCTGCCAGTAAGCGCTTATTTTTGGCGGATAAAAGTGCAGTGGACGG